GCGCCAGCACGCGTTCCCCGAGGCGCGGCATCCCCGCCCCGCACGCCGGGCCCTGTCACTGTCACTGGGGTAAAGGCGTGACACAATTGTTCTGTGAAGCGTTTTTTACCTTTTTTTTCAACTTTCTGGACAGACGCTTTTGTCACCAGGACATGAAAAGCTGCCACTGGTTTGAAACTTTGAAACTCTCTCTTCGCTGCGTGTCGCACTCAGCTCCAAGGGCTTTGCCGAGATTCTCTGTCCTGTTCTGTTAATTATTTGTCCTGCTTTTGAGAGGCAGCAGAGTGTTCTGACACTGCATGAATGTGTGTCCTTTCCCACTTTTCGCAACACCCGAGCCCTTTCTACCCGCCCTGAGTCAGCAGGCGACCCTCAGAGAGCTGGGCGACCTCGGGCAACGCTCACACTTGTTCCTGGTGGGCGCGTCAGTGCTTTGAAAGGCGGCGGGTTCTGGAAACTGTACAACTTAGGGCAGAAGAGGGCCCTTGAGAGAAGTAAATACTCAGTTTAGGTCCTGCCTTGGGGTGTGGCCATCCAGGTGGGGCCCCGTGGTTTCCATGTTTGCCCCCAGTGGGGTGTTTCTGGGAGCGGTCAGTCAGGAAGGTGTGAAGGGCGGCCGGGCCCATAGGTAGAGCTAGTTTGCGTCTGAGAACCAGGCCAGCTCCCCTTGGTAAGAGGGGGACCTCTCAGGAGTCCTCCTTGTGGGAGGGGGACCCACTGCCGCAGAAACCCGAGTTCCCCTGAGCCCTCCGCACCCCAAGTCACACACGGGGACAGGCCGGCTCTCCCCGCAGTGGCTGCAGGCCTGCCGCTCACCGCTTGGGATGTGTCTCACCCGATAAGGTAACAGGAGGCCAGAAAGCCGCCTGCCTGCGTTTCCCCCAGACGTGCCCACGAGCGCATCCCGGGGTGGCCACGTCTCCCGCCGGCCTTGCTGGTCTGGGCTGGGGTTGGCACAGCCCTGGGGTCCTGCTCAGGCTGTTTGGTTTCACTGAGCAGAGCAGGGGAGCAGGCTCACTGCCGAGGGAGGCCCTCCAGCAGGGCGCGCGCGTCCGCCGAGTCCACCGGAC